CACAGACCGTCTACTTATTCCTACTAATGAGGTCACTTCTCTTTGACTAACATGGGGATTCTCAACCGTTGCCAGCACCACAGAAAACTCATGTTCTTCGTTCACAACACGTTTTATTCTTTCACTTTTTTTATATTCGAAATTTCCAGTTTCCAGAAATCTATCGAGAAGGTTTTGGAAGCTGCTAACATCAGGAAGCCTTCTTTCAGGATAACGTTGGTGATAAATTCTATTGGCAAGTGAACAATTTCTGTCTGACTCGCCCAAAACAAAAGTCATGTCTACAAGTTTCGCTTTATTAAAATTCATATTGTAAAATATTTTAAATTCAATACAAATTCAAATCAAATCAAATCAAATCATTTTATTGATCAATATTTACACCTTGGTGTTTGATACGTCGTTTACAACAAATATGTAGGCATATACATACACATACAATATATATATATATATATATATATATATATATATATATATATATATATATATATATATATATATATATATATATATATATATAAAATATAAATAAAAGAATAACATATAAAATTATTTGTCTTAATATCGTCATTTAAAAAATTACAAAAAAATTTCACAAACAAGAAAAAACATCACTCCTAGGCACAAACAATTTACATCAAATTTTACACATAATTAAAATCTGTAATGTCATAGTAGGCACTGGCTAAAAGATGACTTTTCAATTTAAATTTAAAATGGTTCATAGGCAATTTTTTCAGAGTCTTTGGCAGAGAGTTGAACAACGTGACCCCTAAGTTGCCTCTTTTAGTTATTTTTAACCTTTGATTGGGTATTCGTATATTGTTCCTTGTACTGGTGTTGTATTCATGAGTATTTCGATTCATAAGTCACTGATATGCTCCTTTATGTGGATCAAAGTACATAATATTATTGCCGACGGTAAAGTTAAAATTTTAAGTTTTACGAACCAAGGCTTACAACTCACCATTTGGTTTACATTTACAATTGCTCTAATTGCTCTCTTTTGGACAATAAAAACTTTTTGAATATGAGTAGATGATCCCCAGTTTATTAGGCCATAAGTCATTGCACTATGAAATAGAGCATGATACGCTGTAATTGCAGCATCTGTATTAACTCTACTTCTGATCTGGCGAATAGCATAGACTTTTTTTTGACAAATTAGTACAAAGATGTTCGATATGTAACTAACGACCGATAAGTGTGATAAATGCTCCTTTGTACACGACAATTTATACCAAACTGAGGTTTTATTGCTTGTCGAATAACGAAAACAGCAAAAAAATTTACAAAAAAACATTACAGTAAAGGACTGGTTAAATACTATTTACTCATTTCAATGGAAATGGTCCCACTAAATGGTCTCATTTCAAAATTGCATAAAGACGTGTGTCAATCAAAATGGGCAACACGTCCAACACCTATTATAAATTTTTCAAATGAATTATTTGAGGGAACCTCTTTTTTTTAGTTTATTCTTGAATTTGACACTTATTTATTTAAAAAACGAAAATGGTTGCAATTAGCCATAGGGAAGTACTTACAAAAAATGTTCGTTTTCATTTCTACATCACATCGTCGAAAAATATACAGGGTGTTTCATTTGAAAAAATTGAGAAAATTCAATTTAAAAAGTTCTTAACTGAAAAATAAACACTTATTTATTTATAAAACGAAAATAGTTGCAATTAGCCATAGGGAAGTACTTACAAAAAATGTTTGTTTTTCACTTTTACATCACATCGTTGAAAAATATATAGGGTGTTCCATTTGAAAAAAATTGAGAAAATTCAATTTAAATAGTTCTTAATTGAATACTAATTTTTGGCCACCCTGTACATTTTTAGGAAATGAAAATGATTCAAAAACATTAATTAGATGTCTCGTAACTGGTATTCACATAAGTTTTTCTTAAAACCCATAATTGTGACTGTGGTGATTTTTTTAATATCCATCTGCAGATGGCATTATTTCAACAAAAAAATTCATTACATCAAAGTGGTTGGGAGATAGCCAATAATAATAAAGGAATGAATAGAGCCTAGAAAGAGGCTTCAAAAAATGTACTAATATACATAGCATTTCATTTAAAAAAAAGGTACTTGGTCCTGTAATTTCGTCTTGGCTCGCCCTGTATGTTCGAAAATAATTTCCAGTTATAGACTTTTTTATCTAGTTTACTTGCAATTTTTTAAAAAATTTCTAGCTATCGTAGAACTCGAGATAACGAGGTCCGACGCACTATTGCCCGACCCTGAATATTAAAAAAAAAGCAACCAAACATATAAAATATAAATTAACCAAAAACCTGTAAGATAAATATGTACTAGACTACACACAAGATTGGTTCACTTTTGAAAATATTGTAAATAAGTATACACCTAAAAACCAATAATTAAATTTCATATTATGTGTTACAAGAAACTGAAAGCAAAACAACATATACAAATCAAGTAATAATAATACATAACAATCATATAACCAACATTACTAATTTGAGAGATGTGACCTAATTTTTTCCTGAACTGATTCACAGAAAGATCTTTGAAATTATTGGTTGTAGTCTTGGAACTTTGTACTGCATTGAAACTAAATGATCTGGTGAACTGGAGAACATAGCCGTACTGTGTGTGAGTTGGAAGTCTGATATTTAAGTTGTGTATGGAGTTCTGAATACAAGCTTTTCTTTAAGGTAGGCAGCAAACGAATTTATTAGAAGCTTTTTTTCATATTTAACCAGTCAATATTAGTAAAAGTAGCGGAAATGTGATCAAATTTTCTTAAGTTGCAAATGAAATGGCAACATATATTTTGTACTTTTTATATATGGTTTTTTGTCATTTGATCCAAGCAGGGAAAATATGCTAAATTACAATAACTGAAAATAGGCAAACCGAGTGAGTCACAGAGATTTTTATTAAATTTGTAGTTTATTAAGTGTCTATTAGCAAATAAAACTTCCATTTTTACGAAGGACTTTTGAAGCAGTTTACCAACATTAGATTTATATCTGAGGCTCTCTTCGAAAATGACACCCAATATTTTAGATTTATGTGACAGAGTTAAGGATACGCTATTTATATTAAGACGTAATAATTGTTGTATACCTTCCCCTATAGTCTCTGAGCAAAATAGGAGCATACTAGTTTTGTATGGATTTAATTTCAAATTATGCTTTGTTGCATAGGAAGAAACAGACTCAAGTTCTTCATTAATTTGTAATGAAACCGTTTGTTTTTCCATTACCACGAAATTATATCGCAGAAGTATATTATCTGCGTATGCTTGAAGATTTGCAATTTTCACAGATTTTAAAAATTCGACGCGTAAATTAAAAACAAATGTGAGCCCAATACTGATCTTGTGACACTCCAGAAACAAGAATTTTTGATGTGAAAGAGTTTACTCCCACTATACACAAATAATGGGTGTGTGTCCGTTGTCTCTAAATGTGTAGCCTCTCCCGCACAACGGTAGTTTAAGGATACTAGGGATTGTACTATATATGGTGTTTATTTATTCTATGGCTCTATGTACACATCTTCCACCTATATCTTGTAAAGTACCAATTAAGTTTTTAAGAATATATTTATTTTATGTTTGTCAGTTTCAAAATATTTATGTCTACATCGCTTATTTTTAATTTTGATTGAGTGTGACAAAGTAGGGATATGAAAGGTACATTTAGAGAGGCGGCAAAGGCAAATATGCATAGGGGGGTAAGTACTCTAGTGAGAGCCCTAGATTTCTCCAAACCATACGAGGTACAGTCCTGGCACAATATTTTATAGCTAGCGGCGATCCTTGATAAAAAATTAAAGGTAGATACTATTTGTTACTTCAATAAAGAATTTTATTGTAGGTACCTTGTACATGGATGACTGAAAAATTGCTGTAAAATTTATTTGTGAATGTTAATTTAATCATTTTTTAAAAATTATTTGGCATTGAAATTGATCGATTTTCATTATAGGACCTATCTATCCACATATTATTGAAAAATATTTGTCATTTGCCAAATGTCAGGGGGAGAGGCCGCCCCCAACCCCCCTCTCCCCGGCGATGCGCATACACCTAATTAATAAATGTTAAATAATTTGAAATGTCTACACATTTTATAAATAACAAATAACACATACTAGTTTACAATACAAGTAGATGTTTTTATAACATTTAGAAATATGGAAAGGCAATTAAGATATATTTTGTTTTATAGTTTATTTAAAAACATTAACAAATTAAACAAAATTTGCTTTTTAAAAGCATTTTACAGAATCCGGTTCACAGTTACAGGTATTTTATTTAGAATCACATCAATATTTATAAAAATGGAATGGCGGTTTTTCCAAACAAACACTTATAACTTTCCAGAGCTGTTAACTGTGGAGTCTCCTTTTTATAGAACATACTTCAATAAGTTTTCTGGCAAGCTCTGCATCATTTATAGCATCAGTAATTTTTTTCTGCAAAACCTCATTTTGAAAATTTCCAGCCTCATCCATGAAATCTGTTTTCTTGAACACACAGAAAATGTGCTCGTTCAATTTTGGATCATCTACAATATTTCCCTTACTTGCATTTAACAACACAGTTTTGTCTACTCCAGTTTCTGCGCTGCACTCTCTGCGGCGGGTTGCCAGTTTTTCAATTTGCTCCAGGGTCAACTCGGCCTATTATAACAGAAAAGACATGTAATTTCGCTAAACATAAGCTGGTTTTGAGATGAAAGTTATTGTGACATTTTTTGCCACAGACACCAATATCATTTAATATTAAATTTGTGAACTTTCTTTTTACTAAATTTGTGAATTTTTTTTGATCTTGCAACAGCGTCAGTTGCTGAAAAACGAATATTAAATGACAAGTAATACAGCTTTGGTGTACAGAGTTGAATTATATGTCCCTAGACACTTACAATGAAAAAAAATTATAAGATAATATCTAGAGGGTGTTCTGTTTCAGTGCGTACAAATTTGGAAAGTTCACTGAGCATATCTACGGTCGAGTGGTAAAGACATTTGCCTTTCACCCTGGAGTCCTGGGTTCGATTCCTGATTGAGGAGCTAGGATTTTTCTAAACCAGAAATTAATATTAGCATACTCGGACATTGGATGTGTGTCCATTGTCTCTAAATATGTAGACCTCTCCCATACAAGGTACACTGAAGTACCTTCAGGGTTGCAGAGGGTTGTATTTTACCTGTGGTGTTTAATAATTAATAACAATAATTAATATTAAGACTACGTAAAAAGTTTATGTGAACATGTCATCAACAAATGTTTCGTTTAGGAGTTGTAGTAATAGGGTTTAGATTTTTGAGCGTATTTTAGGAAGTAGTGAAAATTAATAAAAAATCTTGATACATTTTAGGTTTAGGCAATTATCGTTGAAACACAGGTTCTCAAATATGACTTGTCCACTTTACGATTGCAATCATTTCTTTTTCTGCGACATTAACTTGAACTTTTCTTTATAAAATTTGTATAAGGCATTTAATTTCACACAAAAAATATTTAATTGGTTATCTTCGAAAAATTTATGTTTCGAAAAAAAAACCGAATGAAAGAAATTGCAAATTCATATCTCACGTTTCAAATCGCAAATAGCCTTTTCTTTTGTGAAGTTTTTACCTCACATCTAAGTATACTTAAATATTATTCTGGGCCATCAAACCAAGGTCATAGTTTTTATTGCAATTAACACGTATCAAATCACATGCTTTTCGATGTACTTAAAAATTATAGGAAAAATAGTTTTTTTGGTATTGTTCATTAATATAAACACATAAAAAGTTGCACAAAAAAAATTCACATATTTTGAAATTTACAACTGTGATTAATCTTAGTCATACTGAAATGTTTTATTTAATAAATAGTTTAGATCATTTACGCCAAAAACCAAACAAACTAGAAATTATCTTAGACAACATGGGTTTTTTTGAGTCTATGAGATGTACCAAATATGTTTAAATTCAATAAGTAAAGGGAAAATTAAAAATACTTATATACAATGCATCTCTGAAATAGTTGAACATGATTTCATTTGCACAAGAATTAGTTCGGTTGTTAAATGTTTAAATTCAAATGATTCACAAACAGTTCACTCTACAAGCATTTTCTAAGAGATCCTTTTTCGTTCAAATTAATCCGAAAATAAAAAATACTGCTTTTAGTTGTAATGTCCAGAGACGCCCTAATTTTTTTATAGTGTCAAAACCTCTACTGTAGACCACTGGCTGGTGATAAAAAAACCATGCTTTCGGTTCAGGTTGTTACTATTTGTAATTTAGTTACTATGTAGAAAATATCAAGAAAAAAGTAGCCGCCCCCCCAGAAGATGTTGAAATAAAAGGAAAACAATTTTCTTTATTTTTGACAGCTTGTATCCCCGTTGAAATTTAAAGAGTTATGTTTTGTTTATTAAGTATTAGTATTGATATACCAAACACCCTGTATATATATTTAGGAAACTAAAACATTACAAGTGAATACTGTGACAAAAAGAAGTCTGATAATCATTTTCCAAAAATCTGCGTCAATAAATTATAAAGTAAAACAACAAACGATGTGTACCAAAAAGCAATAACCCAAAATATATGACTGATAAGTTTTAATATCTCATTCAATAGATGGATGAAAAAAAATCTGCAATCAAACATGAGTAATATACTGCCCGAAGTGGTAATGATTGAATTAATGTATTATATTAATGTAACATTTTTTTAAATAATCTTAATATTTGAAGTTTTAAGTTACTAGGTCATAAGTTTTCTTGAAATTCCCAGTATATTTATAAGTAAATAGTAAGTACGACATGAAAACAAATGTACCTTTTAACACACAAATAAAATTATTTAAAAAGAATTGTATATATTTCAATAATATAACAACTAGACAAACACGAATTAACACTTACGTTTACAACTACCACCACCAAAATAAAAGCTGCAATGAATTTCATTATACCGTCGATTTGCTTATGAACTGAGAGCAAAAACTACTATGCAAGAAATGTTATTTCTGCGTGTTTTTATATGGCATTTGTCACCTGTATATTTTTATTTATCTTAACCATTAACGAATACCTAGAGTCCAAAGATCACAGTTAAGACTTTAAGGAATAACTCGAACCGGCGGAGAATCCCAATTGTCATTTAGATTATTAAAAAATATATTATGCTTAATCGAAAGTGGTATATCAGGTTTTATTTAGCCTTAAAAAATTTAAATTAAACCAAATACATGTTTACATCTGCCATTTGAAGCAGAATCTAGTAATAATTCCAATAGGACGTTATCAACAGAGGATAATTATTTGACTGATTTTAATTTGATAATGATATAGCACCACTTAATTGGAACTTTTACTAAACATTCAATTCTATATTATTATATTAAAATTATTAAGATTAATTTTTGATGTACTACCTGCCCTTTCAGAAATATGCTAGATATAGTGTTGTCCCTGGATGGAGTACCCAAATTGCATTTTTATTATTATTTTTTTTTTTAAGAAAATTCACTTTTATAAAAAGTTTTTTTACTCCTTATAAAACGTTTTTCTTATTCTGAATCTTCGTTAGCTACAGTCCAACATATGATATAGTGATATGTTTTATAGGATGATTAAAAACTAAAAAAATGCGAAACTTACTCAAGAGAAAATTTGTCGTATTATTCTTTTTTAGAGAAAATGTAATTAGGAAATGCAATCATATAAAAAGCTGACATTTCTTGTTAAAACAATTAACAAAATAAATGAACAATGAAAAACAAACGCGCAACATTCAGTTAAAAATACCTTTAATGATTTTTTCACGAAATTCTGTATTTAAGCTTGTTTTATGATTATTGATTACGAACAATATTTCTCAATGATACTTTTCCCTAAAAAAAAATAGGGGTTGTGTTCTTTTAAGACCGTTTTAAATTTCTAAAGGTAAAGGTGTAATGTATTTTGCAAATTCGACCACAGCTACTTGGTGTTCCATTAGGACACACCGGTATAATCTCAACCTCACCTAATCATGGGTGTCACCCCAAAATTTTCATGGGGAAACAGCAAAATGTTTTAGGAATGCTTTTGAACATTTCTTTATAGTAAATACTAGAATATATTTTTCGTTCTGTAAAATAAAAATAAAAAATGTATAATATAAAAATATTTGTTTTGTTTGCATTGCTGGAATGTATCGGCACTAGCATTTGATTTAATTGTTAAGAAAGCGTATACTGTTTTTTTGTATGTAGGAGTGCGACACTTGTACAGTGTACTCAACAGATAAAAGATAGTTGCTTTATTGCTCTGTACGCATCAGTTTATTCCTTTATCGATTGCGCCTACTTTGTTTTAACGATCGAGCGGTTTAGGACTGTCTACGGTCTTCTATCAAGAAAGTCAAGTCAAGCCAAGACAAAGAAGACTATCAACTCTAGTTACATTATCTATAAAATATGAAATGTGCGAAGCAATCAATTTGGGCAATGTACTAAACCTTATAAAAACTTTTTTATTCAACACTTATGACTGATGGTCGAGAGGCAACGCAGTTGGGCTCTATGTTTTTATTTATAGTTAATTTAAAAACATTAACAAATTAAACAAAATCACAAAGAATTTACTTTTTATAAGCGTTTTACAGAATCCGGTTCATAGTTACAGGTATTTTATTTAAAATCACATCAATACTTATGAAAATGGAATTCCAGTTTTTCCAAACAAACACATAACTTTCGACAGCTGTTAACTGTGGAGTCTCCTTGTTTTATAGAACATGCTTCAGTAAGATTGCTGACAAACACTGCATCATTTATAGCATCACCAATTTTTTCTGCAAAACCTTATTTTGAAAATTTCCAGCTTCATCCGTGAAATCTGTTTTCTTGAACACACAGAAAATGTGCTCGTTCAGTTTTGGATTATCTACAATAATTCCCTTATTTGTATTTAACAACACAATTTCGGCTACTCCAGTTTCTGTGCTGCACTCTCTGCGGTGGGTTGCCAGTATTTCAATTTGCTCTAGGCTCAAGTTGGTTTATTGTAAGATAATATCTACAGGGTCCTCTGCTTCAGTGCTTACAAATTTGGAAAGATCACTGAGCATATTTATGGTCGAGTGGTAAAGACTATCACCCTGGAGTCCCGGGTTCGATCACCGGTTGAGGAGCTAGGATTTTTTCTAAACCAGAAATTAATCCTAGCATGCTCGGACTTTGGGTGCGTGTTCATTATCTCTAAATATGTAGCCCTCTCCCACACAAGGTACACCGAAGTACCTTCAGGGATACACGGGGTTGCATTTCCTGTGGTGTTTAATAACACAGGCCTGCATGGTTTTAGGGGTCTACAATTTTTTTTACGATTTTAAAGTAAGTCATTCTGAACTCTGCAGTATTATTAGTTTTCGTGTATCACACACTGTTTACTCTAAACATACATAACGACATTATTAGTAATTAATCCATATCTTTTTAAAATAAAATTGTTAAGGACCACTGCCTTTTAATCTAGATGTTTCTAGTTAGAACCAGAATATACACATAGTATTCGAAAAGCACATACAGCAGTCAGTAGTAAGTTAACTGTGGTTGAACGTGTGCTTACAGTATATAATAGCGCAATAAAGTTATTAAAAATTCGTCATGTCCTCAAGACATTGCAAAAACAGCGCCGATATGTTTTGTTACATTTGTGGTTCATATACAGTTAAAAAAAAGACAAAGAAATATTACGGAATTCGTGAAAAGAAGTTATCATGCGTACTTTGGTGTAACGCTTGGAGACCAAGACAAAACATGGGCGCCACACAGAGCTTGTCATACATGTGTTGAATCGTTACACAAGTGGACTCAAAATAAAAAGAAATCCTTACCTTTCGGCATACCAATGGTGTGGTGGGAACCCAGCAATCATGCAGAGGATTGTTACTTTTGCTTGTGTGACGTAAGTGGCTTTAATACTAAAAATAAGAAAAAAATATTTTATCCGACCTTTCCATCAGCAATAAGGCCAGTAGCGCATGGGCCAGATGTACCTGTACCTGCTGTACCAGAGAATTAT